ACCTTACCTCTACAGCTACGGATGCATCTGTATGCCAACTGCACCCATATAATTTTGATGTAAAATGTTCTTAGGATTATCTCAAAATCTATTTTTATATCTAATTATAAAATTTTAAATTTAAAAAATGGTTAAAATCACATAGATCTATAAACATATGAAAATCTTGAAAATGGACTTGTAAAATGTACTATTTCTGAGACTTAAAATCTTTTTATTTTTCATGGTCATACATCTCGATGTCGAGATGATCAATGAAAGTGTTTTTCAACATTAAACGTAGCTCTATATAAGGTTGCAACCTTATATAAACTTTTTCCTTCTAAAAAACTTCTGAAAAAGGTAATTGCTTTCCAAGTCATTTATTACGGGGTTTGCTTAGAATACTTTTTAAAAGAATTCCGAAAAAAATAATCTAAGCAAAGTTGGCTTAGATAAAAAATAGGATGGTATAACAATTGAATAAATAAAATATTTAAAAGGTGGGAGCCGGTTCTTACTGGTTCTCTGACATAACCTGGTGGTTTCGTCAGAGAATCGGTAGAGATCGGGCTGAACCAACCAGTTCTATACCGGTAGAGATCGGGCTGAACCAACCAGTTCTATAGGGGACATGGCCAGATCCCTATATATTACGAAATCCAGAATGGCAAGGATGATTTTTATTTCGGAACTAGCAATTCCGATTCGTATAAATAATTTTTCAAACACTGATACTTACACATAGAGTGTTTCCTAATATACTCAACATTTCATTACTTTGCATTATATTACAAAATTTTTAAAACAAAGGCATTTTTTGTCATTAAGAGTGGTTGAATAGATATTACGACATTTTTTCCCTATAGTTAATAACTTGTTTCATTTTTTTTCAAAAATATCTACTTTATTTTTAATTAATTATCTAAAATACCCTTAGCAGTTTTGCTCTTTACAATGATTAGCATTATCTTTCTTTGGGTTCCATAAGGACACTTCCTTAGTAAAGAGCTCTCTGAGTCTTGTTGGATTACTACTTTCTCATGTTTTTAGAAAGCAATCTAAGCAAAACCCCTAAATAAATAAAACAAATTTTGCTTGAAATCAGAGGGAAACAAAGACAAGAGAGGCTAGATTTTTCTGTTACCATATATCATTATTTCAATATTCCAATGGCATTACCTATCTCAAAATATCATTTTCTCTCTCTTACATCACAAACAACATCAAATATATGAAAATCAAGATCATAAGAGCAAAGGGCTGAGACCCACCTTAAAACCAATATTTCCTCCCTCATCATCTCTATATAGAGAGAGATTAACATACATTCAAAAAAAAAATAGCATCGCAATGTTCATTTATTTTTGTAAGATAATGAAAATTAATAGTGCATTACCCTTATTTTTCTTAAGAACTTAAATAATATTATTTATAATAATTTTAGTGATTCTTTTAAAAAAGTTTTGGGCCGAAACCTACCGATCCACCCGATTATCCAATCCAGATCACCGATCCGCTGATCTGACATAATTTTTGAGGTGGCTGATACGGGTCACCAGTCCGTTTTTTCAACCCTTTATAAGCATAATCTAACAAATCTTAAATAGTTTTTATGGGACCTCATTACCAAATAATATGTTTTCGATTGACTTATTAAACATTACTAGGTCAAAATTTAAAGGAAAATTTACACGAACTATGGACCTTCTCTCAAGAATTATCCGACGCATTATTCTCAAACTCGAATACTAAAAAGTCCACCCAATTCACTGCCGAAATCCATAGGAAATGTTTTCGGCATACCAACGACACGAAACTAACCGCGAAATTTCGGACCCGTTGATATGGACGCTTGCAAGGCTCCACGCATGATTAGTTTCGTGTGAGGTTTCGCTTGCGTCTAAGGGTGGGTCTCTTTTCCTCATAAGTATTAATTAATATCAAACTCGGTTAAAAACAGGTTGCCACGTGGCCGACTTCTAAGTAAACGCGGAAGCACGTGTGTTACGTGCACCAGTGTTGTATACGTTGCAAGCGCTGATTGCCTATCAACTTCCTCGTTCTCTCTCTTCGTTTATTCTTTGCTTTGGATAAGCTTAATTGGAGCGTTGACGATACACAAGAGTGGCGTACGAGCCGACACCTTAGATACTGCCTCGCCATTTATTTCATTTTGATTTTATTTGAAATTGTATTTCGGCTTCGAGTCAAATTATGGCTCGGCTCGAGTCTGGCGTGGGATTATTTATAAAAGACAACGTTCCTTTGGCTTTTATTTTAAATGACTTTTTCAATCCCTTTCATCACACAATGAGAATAAAGATTTTGGATCATCTGAGTTTTGCAATACAGGATGGGTCGACCTGGGCCAGGCCAGGTTACCTAGAACCGGCTACGGTCCAGAACTGGACGTAGCCGGTTTTCACCAGTTAGGATGGTTAAGTCTGAAATTTAAATAAAAATAAAAAAATTCAAAAAATAAAAATATGTTTATAATGGGTTTTTTTTAATGTTTTCTGTTGTTTTGAGAAAGATTGAGAAGTATTTCAGCCATAAATGCTTAATTTACATTTATTTTTATTTTTAAAATTATTTCTAAAATACCATTTGGTACAAATTAATTTTTTAAAATCTACTTTCCATTTCTCTTTTCATCTCATTTGTATTTTATTTAATTATACTTTAGACATACTTTATATATTTTTTGAAATTTTTTGAGATTTGTTTGAAACGTTTTTAAGCCTTTCTAGCGCGGTTAAAACCAGTTACTTGGACCGCTCCCAGCTTACCTGGACCCATGTCCAGGTTCCATTCCTGGGTCGTGTTTTTTAACACTGGTTGTTGGGATTGGAAATGATGGATTTATGTTGTTTTTTTAGAGTTCAATGTGGGCAGAGTCCTTTGCGTCAAAGTACAAGGTTTTGCGTTTTTTGCCGACTATTTTTTGGTTTGTGCAAATGATTTGGCCTTCATGCTTCTCTTTGAGATACTGTTAAAGTCTTTTTTGGTTAAAATATATATATATAATGACCAATAAAGTAAGATTTTGTAAAGGGACCGGAGAGTGATAGAATCTCCGAATATCAGTATAGAGCACTTTGGTCTCTTGTACAATTAAGAACGAAATTACATGCCGTTAATTGAACCATTATTAAATTAACGTTCTAGCATTTTATTTTTCTTTTTGAATGTCAAGTTGTGACCTACTGAGTGTGTAATTCTAGATGTGGCACCCGGACTACTTCTACTTAGAGCCCTTCCTCAATATTTTTCCATTTCATCATGAATTTATGGATATTATCAGGACCTTAAAATATTAAAATAATGTTCTTATTAAAAAATAAGTTGTTGTCAATGTTATTAAATATGAATTTAAATTGTACACAATTAAAACGTACAATCTTAACTTTTGTATAGACGTCTCTGTGAATTATAACGCATATTAAAATTAAAAGATAAAAAAATAACTATCCAGCTAAATAGCTTTAACTTACATTCTCATTATCGATTCCTTGTATTACACTGTTGCTCGGTTCCCCATTTAGGGCTAGTTTTAGATAAGTGACATTAATTTTAAAAAATTTCAAATTGCTACATTTTTTCTTTCAAACTACGTGTGTTTGTAATTATAAGGAAAGGTTTTTATCGTGATGATACTAGGAAGAAGCCTTCATATACCTAAATAAATTGATTTTACCTGGTTATTATTGAAGTTTGAAGTTCTCTTGGTAACACGAAGAAGAAAAAATAAATTTATTTAAGGCATTGTGATAATGGTTAGAACATATGGTCAAGAACCACATGTTTTGTATGGAACAAGTGCTAAAGACAAAAATATAATATGACAGGTAAGAGTTTGAATACATGGACACCCTAAGTCTAGCTTTTTGTACGGTACCATACTCTTCACAATTTTTAGGTGAAATAATGTGTAGTAAGGACAAACGTGAATTCCAACCTAAAAAGAGGTCAATAACACAAAAAAAGATGTATGTTTCCCTTTTCGTTTTCCCAAAAGTTCTCCAATTTATGAATTAAAGTTTTTGAAAATAAAATCTTGCCAAAATTATTCATGGAGGCCAAAGTTATTCCTGCCCTAAGCCCGGCCGTTAGGGTTGGATCTGGCCAAATAAAAAAATATAATAAATAAAATAATAATAATAATAATAATGAAGGCCACGCCGAATTGAACTTGCCATGGCCTAACCCTGCCCTAACCTATGTCTTTTGTGGCCGAGGCTCTAATTTTTTAGGGCTGCCCGGGCCAGGGGATTCGATCCTACACCACCCCTAAGTTGTGTTAAGATTTTCACGCATGGCGTACTCTCCACCTATAACTTCGCTACCAAGCTATCTAGCCTAAGCCGAGCCGAGCCGAGTCGAGTCGCTCCTAGACTCGAGCTTAGCCTCCATCCGTCCGTACATCACACTCCAAAGTTTTTTTTTGCTGATGACGTCATTTAACCGACTCGTGAAGTGTGCTTTGGACGATAGCAACCCTCTATAAATACCCACTTTAACACACGATTGCAAAGAGAAGTCACAATTGTTTGGTTTTAAGATTATTGAAGAAGGTTTCATAAAAGCAACTCAAAGGGGTTTGCTTTCTTTTGATGGACAATTTTGAAGAGCTTCTGGAAGAGGATGTGGTTTTTTCCGGCGAGAAAGACGACCAGAACGCGCCCGAAAAGACCTGGCTTCCGGTGAAGAAAACGATGGGCTGCTCTCAAAGGAAGATGTCTCTTCCCGTTTCGATTCCGGTTAAGATAACGGGGAGCCAATGGAAGGGCGGTTTCCATTATGGAGATGAAGAAGAAGTTGAGGGCGAGGGCGAGATGGTTCCTCCTCACATTTTGGTGGAGAGGAGAATGGCTGGGAGTTGTCGGAAAACGGCGTTTTCAGTTTTTGATGGTAACGGACGGACGCTTAAAGGGCGGGACTTGAGGCGTGTTCGTAACGCTGTGTTGAAACAGACCGGTTTCTTGGAAGGTTACATTTTTTGACCAACCAAATAGAAAACTCTCTCTCTCTCATGAATTCTCCATTTCTCTTTGTATAAACCAAAGTTACTAATTTTTTTGAGCAAATGTACTTTCTCTCCATCTCTTTGTTAGAAGTACAGTGAATTGGGTGCTTGTAATGAGTCGAAGAAGAAAACCAGAAAATGAGTTTGTTTTCAACTTCTTTTTATATAGGTATCTCTTGGCAAGATTTTGAGCAAACTATCTTATCCGATCTCCCTAGTATTAGATAAGCATGCCGGTGAACTGGGTGCATTGTAAATTGCAGATGTTTCCAAGATGAAAAAGAGAATGATTTCTTGTTTACTTCTTATTATTTATTCAAAATTTCAATTACGGCGTGTTTGATGAGGGGCAGTTTCTGAAAATGGGAGTTCAATGTCCCTCTTCTATATTTGACATTAAAGAGAAGGGCGCCTTCCGCACAGCTATTTATTAGTGTTAAAATGAGTTCATTTTTAGAACACCTCCCTCCCATAAAGAAAAATGTTGGAAGAGCAGTCTTCCATAATTTGTGGTCCAGTCCCAAAAAAAAACTCCACGTGTCAAGTATACCTTTATATTTGTGGTCCTTATTTACCCCATTTCGCCGCATTTGATAGAAGACTGGTTTGTTTTTTCTTGGTTAATGCGGCGTTATTCTTTAAAATAAACTCAGTCATTGCAAAATTCACCAAAAAATTCCTTAATTGCGTTATTCAAAGGAAAAATGTCATCCTTCATATTCATACGTTAGCTTAGGAACATCGATAAATATAACGTGGCTAAGGCTGGTTCATGAATGTGTGTACGGGCGCCCAGGCCAAAGATCATTTCCTTTCAAGGAGTATTTGATTACCAGAAACTTCCGTTAATTGCAGCAGGTGTTAGTTTGTGGAATAAAAACTACTTTAAATAAAGAGGGGTGAGCTAGAACCTTGCACTTCTCTTTTGGAATGGCAGTTTCGTTATTAATAATTTATTATCTGAACCTTTTTTTTTAAGTCCTATTAAAATGAATATTATGGGGTTTGTGAAGGCCATTGGGGTTTATATAAAAAAGTATAAAAAAATAAGTCAAGAAAAATAAAATAGCTAAAATGACCTAAAAAAGTTAGGGTTGTCATCATCATCATTTTGACATTTTTCTAATTCATTGGAGTCAGCTAGATGAATCCTGATTCTCCATTCTGCTCTATTAAAGGCCATATCTTTCGTGAGTTCATAAGTCCCCATATCTTTTTATCAAAAATTAGAGTATTTTGGCCATTTATGTTTTTGAAATACATTCTTTTAGCAGCTTTTAGAGGTGCATGAGGACTGGGAAAATGGATGCCTTATGCTCTCTATAGCTAGGTCTGATCAATGGTTGGACCTGGGCAACGTAGCTTGGGCTTAGTCCGAGTCCTTAAAAGGCTGGCTTGAGCTTGGGTTAGGGCAAAGGGTGGTCCCTAGCCCAAGCTACTTCCCAGCTTGGGCAAGATTGGGCGAATCTGGCAGGGCCTACAAGACTCAAAGAATTTTTTTAAAAAATGGTAATAATAAAGAGAAAAAAAAACAAAAAAAAGCCAACCCAGGTATGTGGCCCTGGCCCCAACACTGACAAGCCCAGCCCTTATCCAACCATCAGTCCACATTTTATTGCCTGGGACCTTGTTTTTTAGGCCAGGTGCCCGGCACATTGCTAACCCTATCTATGGCATAGTAAAGACATAGAAGGGTTTTGGGATCAGGGATTCATGAAGCTCTTGTAATAAATTTAGCAATTTGGTTTCAAAATTTCATTTAGATGCCAACTTCTTGACCGCATCAAGGGCAATTTGTCGCGAGAGAATTCATAATTCGTACATCGTGCTGAAGACCTTCGTGATTCTATTCAAGGTAATGTCATTATTAAAATTCTGGTGAATTTTTGTTTTCTTAGGTTCATATCCCTTTTATTGTTAATTTTTAGTTTTCCCAAAATATCCCCATTTTGGGCCTTCAAAGTCTAAATTGAGAATGCAATTTTTAGCTTTGAATATTGAATTAGACTCAAAATAATGACTTTGATATTAAGAACTGAAAGCACTTGATTTAAAAATTATTGATACTGACTTCGGATTTTCAATATCATATATTACTACTTGTTGAAATAACTTCAAGACATTAAAAATTCGAACTTATTTGGATAAAACTTGACATCAGTGACCATGAAGGCCTGAAGTCATAGTAAAAGAACTTGACTTTGGATCATGAAGTTCTAAAGTTAAGAGTAAATAATTATGCGTAGCTTGATCCAAAGTCATTGTCACTTCGAAACTTCAAGATCCAAAATAAAAGAAATATAAAGTGAATAAATAAATAAAAAGGACAATTAACTTAATGAAAGTCAGCCTTTTTTTTTATTTCTTTATTTATTTTAAATAAGGTCATTTCAGGGGACATGAACTTAAATTTCTCTTCTTATTTATCGTTTGTAGCCAAGATCCCAAGTTAACCTCAAGAGAGATCCAAGGTTATTTCTCGAAGCCACCATTCGCGGGGGCGCACAGTTGAATTTGGCTAGTTTGAAATTAGCAAAATGGACCTTAAATTTTTCGGAACATTTTTTTTCTGAAGTTTGAATAACTCAATCTCGTTCTTTTGGTTGGTCACTAGTCCCTACTCACTACACTGTTGGGACTTCGTACATGCCAAATCCCACGTTGACCTTTAACTCCATAATTGAACGGCGATGACCCCCGAAAATGTTCTGTTGTGGTGGTTATATGTGTGGGTCACAGCTATAGTCACCAAGATTGATCTCGATTCTATTGCTCTAAGCGGATCTATCAGGGATCTTGATTTTAAAATTTGAGACTCTCGATCTCCATCATCAAGGATCCCAATCCCAACTTTAAATACCAAAACAACAATTAAACTGATGATTTTTTTATTTATAGCTAGCTAACAACACAACCATATTTTTAATATAATTATAACAACACAATTATATTTATAGCTAGCTAACTAGCAAATTTGTTCATATGGTTCTGGCCACAGATCCACCATTACTGAATCTGTGCATATCGCCATTAGAACCAGCGTCGGAAACATTGTCGAGCACAACATCATCTTCATTAACAGTGTCTTTAACGATCGTCCGGAGAAGATCCATCAACATATTTAGAGTAAGAAAATCTGTGAATAGGATTAGGCGATTCCTTCCCAGCCAAGTCTGCCTTGGAAAGATCGTGTTTGATGGCTTCATTTGCGAACTTTGTGTTGGGATTCCGTAGACGTAAAGACCTTCGCGAGTGCATTCTTTCATGGCTTCATTAAAGGTGCTTGCCAAGGAACTTACAATCAGAAGAGATAACTAATGACACACCAACCTTCCTCACTAAGCTTAACAAGGCTAGAAGTAAGCATAATAGGTCCAACATTAGGACCATTCTGAGTCTCATAAAGAGATGACTGAGATTTTCAAGACGAGGATGCTTTGCATAAGTCTGAAGAATGTCCCATTCGCGTGAAAGAACAACGTAAATTTGAAATAAATTCATAAACAATCAGCCGTTTACGCTGTTTACCTTTGACATCAAAGCAAACCTCATTTCCATGAGATTTCTCCAAATCTTGGGCCACACAAACTCTTGGTTCTGTCCGCATCCTTAACTTGGTCGGTTTGTCCATGAAAATAGGTTTCCCAATTGACAAAGAGAATAAAAATAAAAATTACGGTTCCAAAAACCCATTAGAAGACCAAGAAGCTTGATCCATACTGGAACTTGTTGTCAAGTTTCCCTTGAGGGAGTTACAGTTGAGTTCTAATATTGCGAAACTAAACGCCTCTTATTGACAAACCATGGACCACCCGTCCTAGCAATCTCCATTTCTTCCCATATTAGAGATTATATATAGCCCAACAATGAGGACCAAAATCTATCTAAAAAAACGCATCATGAAAATGGGACTCATGTCTATGTAGGACATGCAAAATCCTTGTTCTTTTATACAATTTATTCTTGGGAAAATTACAAAAAGAACTCCAAAACTTCACTTTTTATGCAATTTACCCCAACCTAATTTCTTTCTCATTTTTTTCTCCAAAATATACTTTCTATACAAACCCCCAACCAAATACAAAATAAAAAAATGCCTAAACTACTGTCAATTGCTTTTACTTTACCCACGACTCTCTCTCCTCTATCCCACCAAAATAGGGAGCTCCGGCACCGTGTAAGTGCAGTTCAGCAGTAGCACTCTGGCACTATGTAAAAGTCAGTCTGGCAGTAAGGCTCCGACACTGTGTAAAGTGCAGTCCGACAGTTGAAAAGGGCGATCCGAAGTTACAAAGGGAGTCCCAGCACTTGTGCGCTCTGGCAACGTGATGGTGCCTCCGGCAATGTGCTATTGGGGTCCAAAAGTCAACGTCAAATCTGTCCAAAATGATTTTTGTGTACGGGAAGGATATTTCCATCTAAAAAATGTACTTTTTCCCTTGGGGGTATTTGCATAGAAAGTTTGTTTTCGGAAAAAAAAGTCGGGTTAAGTTGCATAGAAAATGTGATCTTGGGTTTTTTTTTCTATATAATTTTTCCTTTATTCGTTAGCATTAGTGCTTGGGGGATTTTTTTTTACAATTTACTTGCTATCTGTTGAAAAAACGGGATGACCCAATCTCACTTTGAGCAAATTGTGATATCTCAAATCCCAATTTCACCACTTAAATAAAATGCTCAAGATACAATAACAAGTGCAATATAATTGAAAAAATATATATAAACAAGAAATCAAGTAATACGGGAAACCATCAAAGCACAACACAAAAGAAAATAGAGAGGGACACGTACATATACGTGGTTCACCCAAGATGGACTACGTCCAAGATCAAGACGGCAATGGTGTATTCACTATCAAGGGGAAAAATTACAGGATTGGGGTTATACAGAGTTACCTCATACAATATCAATGAATGCTCAAACTAAGAACTTCCTACCATAAAACCACCGACAGTCGATCCCTTTCTTCTATTAACTGTAGCTGCGAAGAAATGCCGACAAAATAGCTCAAGATGAGCTCCAATGGTGGTGCTAGAGTGTCACAATAAAACCCCCAATTTTTCTCTCTTTGCTTTCACCCCCAAAACCTCTCTCACAACCTTATAACTTTTCGCCCTTTTTCTTTTCCTTTTATAATCTCACGCGCACGGGCTTCTTCTTTTACTCACTCACCTGCGCGTCTCCTTTTCTTCCCCTTTTTACTAACACCCGCACCGCTTCTATCGTGCACCTTTTCCCGCTCTCACATCATGCGTCTCTATCTCTCTCACTATATAACTCTTTTAAAAAAGGGGTTCCATCCAAAAAGACAAAAGATGCCCAAATAAAGAGGGAGAATACCAATAAAATAAAAAGGGTGATGATTTGGCATCATGCCCCCAACACCGTCGACTATATCATTTTTACTTTTGAGAGAAAACTTGTTTAAGAGAATGGTGCCTGAGAACTGACCCTTTCACATAGATGAAAATCAATTTTGTATATTAGAGGGCAGGAATTTATTGTTTAGAAAGTTTTAAAATTTTAAAATTTTCACGTGGGCTCAAAAAACCCACTCATCTATTTTTCTCCTGAGTACTTCTCTCTTCTCTCTCTACCCCACCCCTGTTAGAAAATAGGGAGGATAATTCAACACAATTTCTTCATTCTACTTAAACAAAAATATAGTACATGTATATATAGACCACTTAGGAGCTTTCTAGACTCTTTCTACACCATTCTAGGGAAGTTTTCCCTCTCATCACTTACAACCTACATGCTTGGACGAAATTACATGACTAATCAAGAAATTTCAAGTCTTCACTCATTCTCAATTCAAATTTGCGTGCATTGCATGTTTTGGACTCCTCTCTCTCAATCTTGGGACTCTTCTCTCTCAATCTTGACATTCATCTCTCTCAATCTTGGAATTGTGGTTTTGGAACTCTACACAATTCTTTTACATAATTTCAAAAGTACCTTTCAAATAACTTTTCCAAAATGTCCCTTATAATTCAAACTAATACCCAAAATACCCTTGAACATAATCAAGCTTATTTTTAACATCCCCCCTTAAGCTTGATTTTCCAACTTAGTTATTCCTAACATAAGTTTCAATTTTTGAAATAATTCATGTTTGAGAGGTTTTGTAAAAAAGTTGGCAACTTGATCTTTGTATAAACCAGTTCAACCTTCTTTTCTTTCACTTGGTCCCGAACGAAATAGAACCGTGTATCAATGTGCTTGCTTCTTTCATGAAACTCCAGGTTATTTGCCAATGCAATTTTCGACTTGTTATCTACATGGATTTTGGTGGGAGTCTCTTGAGGCTTTAAAAGTTATTTAAGAAGATTCCGTAGCCACAATGCATGACAAGTACTTGATGTCGCGGCTATATACTCGGCCTCACAAGTTGATAATGTCATGATCGGTTGTTTCTTTGATGACTATGTGAATGCCGTACTCCCCATGTAGAACACTTACTCGGAAGTGCTTTTCCTATCATCCAAGTCTCCAACCCAATCACTATCAACAAAAACTACAAGATCACGAACATTATAACATGAATAAAATAAACCATGGTCAAATGTGTCTTTGATATACCGGAGAATCCTTTTTGCCGCTTTCAAGTAAGAGGTATTTGGAGTCTCCATGTACCGGCTTACCAAACCAACTCCATAGAGAATATCCGGTCTTGTACATGTTAAGTATCGGAGGCTTCCCACTAAACTTTTGAAAAATGTAGGATCAACCCTTTCTCCATCACCTTCTTTTCTCAATTTGAGACCACTTTCTCCGGTGTATTTACTGGATTACAATTCTCCAATTTAAATTTCTTGAGAATCTCTTTTGCATAAGATTTTTGTGACACAAAAATTCCATCATCCATATGTTTAACTTCAATGCCAAGAAAATAAGACATGATCCCAATGTTAGTCATTTCAAACTCCTTAATCATGGATTCTTTGAATTATTTAAACATGTCCGGATTATTTCCCGTATAGATCAAATCATCAACATATAAACAAACAAGCAAAATATCTCCATGTTCATTTTTCTTTATGTATAAAGCATGTTCATATGGGCACCTCGAAAAACCATTTTCAATAAAATATTTATCAATTATACTATTCTATGCCCTAGGTGCTTGTTTTAAACCATACAAAGTCTTTTTCAATTTGTAAACTTTGGTTTCTTGCCCTTTTTTCACATAACCAATTGGTTGTTTAATATATACATCTTCGTCAAGAACACCACTCAAAAATGCCGATTTCACATCCATTTGAAAAAATTTCCATTTCATTTGGGCTGCAACAGAAATAATTAATCTAATAGTTTCCAAACGAGTAACGGGGGCAAATACCTCATCATAGTCAATTCCGGGTTTTTGCTTGTACCCTTTAGCAACTAACCTTGCTTTATACCTTTCGATATCCCCATTAGCATTTCTCTTTGTCTTGTAAATCCATTTCATAGCAATTGATTTGTGGCCCTTAGGAAGTGTTATAAGCTCCCATGTGTTATTCCTCTCAATTGCTTCAATCTCTTCATCCATGGCATTTTTCCACACTTTAATTTTACATGCTTTATCAAAATAAATAGGATCCAAATCTGCATAAAGACAAAGCAATGTGAGATCTTCATTTTCAACATCAAGCCTATGAGTAACCGAATAAATTTCTTGAAGGCTTTTTGTTTTCATGGGCCTATGAGATGAACTACTAGTTAAAGTAGATTGGCCACTAGAAGAAGCATCATGAATAGGATTCAAATAGTCTTCTTGATGCTCAACTTGTCCCTTTTCTTCTACTTCATCAACCTCAATAGTTTTCTTTTCTTGATTATTTTTCCAATCCCATACTCTATTTTCATCAAAAATCACATCTCTATTCAAGAATACTTTTTTAGTAATGGGATTGGACCTTTATATTTTCTCCATAGGCAATGAATGAACACTTTTCTCCTTTGTCATCAAGCTTTGCCCTTTTCTCTTGAGAAATTTTAACAAAAGCCACACACCCAAATATTCTTAAATGCTCTCCCTTAAATGCTCTATTTTTGGCTTGTAGGAACTCCAAGCTTCTTCGGGTGTCTTATACCATAAACCTTTTATGGGACACCTATTCAGCAAATATACTGCACCAGCAACGGCCTCGGCCCAAAAGTCCTTTGGCATTTCTTTTCCTTTTAACATGCATCTTGCCATATTCAAAGCAGTTCTATTCTTTCTTTCTGCCACACCATTTTGTTGTGGTGTGTAGGATATAGTCATTTGGTAGCAAATTCCATGTTCTTTACAAAATTTTTGGAAAGCATTAGAATTATATTCTCCACTCTATCCGATCTTATCACTTTAATTTGAAAACCACTTTGTTTCTCCACAAAAGCTTTGAATTCCTTAAACACTTCAAAAAGTTCGGATTTTTCTTTAAGGAAATAAGCCCATGTTTTGCTACTATGATCATCAATAAAGGCTAGAATGTACCGACTTTTTCCATGTGAGATGGGCTTAAGTGGGCCACACACCTCCGTATGCACGAGTTGGAGAGGCTTTTGTGCTTTCCTTGATTTTCCACTCTTGAAACTTTCTCGATGTTGCTTTCCTACAATGCACCCTTCACATACCCCACTGGGTTGCTTTATCCATGGCAAACCATTTACCATTTTTGCTTTTAACAACAATTTCAATCCACCAAAATTAAGATGCCCAAAACGAAAATGCCATAACCATGAATCATCATTCAAAATAGATTTGAGGCATTTCACATTTTCACTTTTGATATTCATGGGAAACATTCTATTCTTATTCATAATCACTTTGCCAATCAAATTGTTTCTTTGGTCCCTCAAGTGAAGGCTACTATTTTTCATAAAAATATTATAGCCTTTTTTTAATAATTGCCCCACACTCAAAATGTTATTTTTCATGTCTGGCATATAATATACATCGGAAATAAATTGATGACCACCATTCTTCATTTTTATCAAAATTTTCCCTTTTCCTCTTAAAGGCCTTTTTGATAAGTCTCCAAATGTTACATGACTTAATTCATTCAGTTCCACAAACAATTCCTTTCTACCACACATGTGATTGCTTGCACCAGTGTCAAGATACCATGTATCTATTTGATTATCATTCTTATCATTATAAGCTAATAACAAAGTTGGTTCTTCCTCATCATTTTTCTTTTCAACAAAATTAGCTTTTTCAAATCCATCATTTTGGGAACGGTATCTACACTCGGAACTATAATGGTCATATTTTTTGCAATTATAACATTGAATAGTGGATTTTCCATAACTTGAATGATTGTATGGCCTTGAAAAATTACCTCTTCCTCGACATCTTTGAGGTTGTGGGTGGTTTTGATCTCTCACACCTCCATAGTTAAAGTTGCCTCTACCATGTCCTCTCCTTCAATTGCCACGACCTCTTTGGCCTCTTTGTCCACGAGATTCTTCATTATCTTCCTTCATTGCAAGCTTTGTTTGTAGTGCATGCTCCAAAGAGTTTTGAGTCCTTTTTTGCAATCTTTGTTCATGGGCTTGCAAGGAACCCATGAGTTGATCAATAGTCATAGCCTTTAAATCTTTTGATTCTTCAATGGCTACAAAAATGTGCTCATACTTACGATCTAGTGATCGTAGTATTTTCTCCATTACTCTTACATCATCTATATTTTCTCCATTTCTTCTTAATTGATTTACAACAACCAAAATCCTTGAGAAGTATTCCGAAATATTTTCGGATTCATTCATCTTCAATGCGTCAAACTTGGCCCTAAGAGTTTGAAGGCGCACTTTTTTCACCTTTTCCACTCCTTTGAAAGTATTTTGAAGAATCCCCCATACATTTTTTGAATTTTCAGCAGAAAAAATCTTCTCAAAAGTGCTCTCATCAATTCCTTGGTACATAAGTAAGAGAGCTTTCTTGTCCAACCTTCTCGACTCCTTTAGCACGCTTCTTTGATTTTGATCCAAAGCAGCTTCTTCTTGCGGGGTTGCCGGTTCTACATACCCCTTTGAACAATATCCCAAGCATCCTGAGACCCCAACAAAGCCTTCATTTGAATACTCTAATTCTCATAGTTATCTTTGGTGAGAAGAAGAGTTTGTGGTTGGATCAAGGGGGCCATTCTTATGTACTTTCTAGTTCTGATAGCACTTGTTAGAAAATAGGGAGAAAGAATACATACTTTTAGAATTTGTCCCATGCACACAAAAGAACTTAATTCAAAACAATTTCTTCATTCTACATAAACAAAAACATATTATATAGACCACTTAGAAGCTTTCTAGACTCTTTCTACACCATTCTAGGGACGTTTTTCCTCTCATAACTTACAACCTACATGCTTGGAAGAAATTACATGAATAATCAAGAAATTTCTAGTCTTCACTCATTCCCAATTCAAATTTGCATGCATTGCATGCTTTGGACTCCTCTCTCTCAATTTAGGGAGTCTTCTCTCTCAATCTTGAAATGCATCTCTCTCAATTTTGGAATTCATCTCTCACAATCTTGGAATTGTGGTTTTGGAACTCTACACAATCCTTTTACATCATTTCAAAAGTACCCTTAAAATAACTTTTCCAAAATATCCCTTACATTTAAAACTAATATCCAAAATACTCTTGAACATAATTAAGCTCATTTTTAACAACCCCACTCCCCGCAAATGAACCATTTGTTTCTCTCTTTTGGTAAAGTTTTACGACTCTGGCCCTATATCTCTATAAAAATTGAAATGGAAATTTCGTGCCACAAGGGACATGTGTGAGTGGCGAGAAGGGTGAGCAAGAAGAACTCACCATTTTTTAGTTCAAGTTCCCTGGGTTACAAAATTATAAGACTTTGTGGAGTAATTTCACGTGCTGCGGATGGTCATGATGTGACCGCATTCACCTCCTTGTCGCAAGGCTCACAAATGGGACGGTGGCTGTGTGGAAACCATTTAAGGGTGAGTTGAGAGCAGTGTTTGTAAACTCGGCTTGTTCAACTCGGAACAGGACTGTCAAACTGGAACTGGGCATTGGCCGATCTGCTTTTGGCTAGTTTTGGTGGTACAACTCGGTATTTTAAATGTTTTTTTTAAAAAATATATCAAATCCTAAAAAATAAAAATTTTATTTGTAATGTATTTTTGAATGTTTTTTATCATTTTGAAAAAGATTAAAAGTATTTTGGCTAATGAATACTTATTTTACATTTTCCCATCTTTTTTAAAAATTTCAAAAATACCTTTAGGCATAAATCGGGTTTTAAAATCTATGTTTTCACTAATTTTTAATTTCATTTTGACATGCTTTGTTTAATCATGGTTTAAATATAATTTTCAAATTCTTTAGATTTCTTTATTTGTTTTAATGGTTTAAACATAATTTTCAAATTCTTTAGATTTTTTTTTGTATTGCTTTAATATTTTTTGAATCGGTCCGGATATACTTGGTTACCAATTACTCAGACCTAGCCCTTGGCCAGTTTCTGAAGCTAGTTCGATTTTTCAAACATCGGTTGGGACACTCTATTTCTACTTTACAAGATCAAAAGCTAGACCAAATCCACAGTGTCGAGTGGAACAACTCGATACTTGTTGGCTCCCTTCGGTACGTGGGATCCGCAATGTTCTCCATCTTTGATTCTCCCAACGAGATCACAGTCCATAAAGTTGCTTCAAGGCTAGGAGAGCCCGAACATTTTGAGGCCCATGTTCACAAACTCGGCTGGTCCAACTCAGAACCGGCCGATCAAACCGGAACTGGGCACTAGCTGATCTGATTTTGGCCAATTTTGGTTGTTGGACTAGTTATTTTAAAAAATTAAAATCAAATATATAAAATCTCAAAAAATAAGGAATTTATTTGTAATATATTTTTGAATGCTTTTTAAGAATTTGGAAAAGATTGGAAAGTATTTTGGTCGATGAATAATTATTTTTACATTTTTCCCATCTTTTTGAAAATTTCAAAAATACCCTTAGACAAAAATTGATATTATAAAATCCATTTTCTCACTAATTTTTAATTTCACTTGCGTATGATTTGTTTAATCATGGTTTAAATATAATTTTGATATTTTTTAGAATTTTTTATATATTTTTTATTTTTATGATAGTTTTTGGGCCGGTGGGGACCTACTTGGTTAAGGCAGTTCAATCGGCCGGTTTACCGACTATTCGGACCCAATCCTTGGTCGGTTTTCAAGGCTGGTTTGATTTTTCAAACATTGATTGAGAGACCCCATTTCTACTTTTCTTGATCAGAGGATAGACCGAGTCCACAGTGTGGAGTCGAGCAACTTGATACTTGTTGGCTCCCCTCCGTTTGGGTCCACAGGATTAGCTCCCCTCCATATGTGGAATACTCATATGTTTCTCTCGAGGGGATCACAATACATAAAGTTCATTCGAGGCCAGGAGAGCTCGAACATGTGTTTTTGGCAACTGGCCACCATATGGGACAGGAGGGGTTTGACCTTTTAACTTTGAAGGTGAATCTCCATTTTCTTCCCTTGATTGGAGGGTGACGCTTTATTATTTTATGATGCACATGGAACCACATCAGTACAGTTGGGAAGCTATCGACCCAAATCGGTGGGGTCTATCTCAACTGTACATGCTTTTTTTTGGGATCTAGAAACTCTTGAGAGTGAGGAGCTTAGGAGTCGCAACCACTGCCAGTAAAGCACCACTCCATTGAAATCAGGGCAGCGGATATTCATGAGACAAGAGGTGTAGTGAGGAACGCCAGTGTTCAGATGGTGACCTTGTGGTCTGAAGACCGCTAGGTGATTCAGGTTTACTTTGTTTTTAATTCCATTCTGGCGATTAGGTTTACTTGGTTCGGGATTCAGCTTTACTCTTCTTTTTTTTGTGTTGTAATTCGATTCTTGTTGGGAATTTAGGTTTACTTTGTTTGTAATTTAATTTTGATTAAGGATTCATGTTTTCTTTGTTTGTAATTGAATTGTGGTTGGGGATTCAAGTTTACTTTGTTTGTAAATCGATTATGGTTGTGGATTCAGGTTTCTTTGTCTGTTTGTTTGTGTTCTTTTCTAGTTACTTTTTGTTTGCTAAAAAATCATGTATAAAACTGGAGAGATGAACCACATTCCATTTCTAAGAAGTGATTGACAATGATTGAGCTCTGGAGATGATGCAGGGAAGATGAGCAGGAAGAAATAATTAAAATAATAATAAATAGTGAAAGAATATACTTTTTTTGAGTCTACAAGAGAGTCCTACCTAAATATATCTTTTCACAAGATCAACTCTTTTCTTAAATCCAATATCTGTTTACAAGAGGGACTTCTTCCCTTTAAATACACTTAGAAGAAAAAAAATAAATAAATAAAAAACAACCCACAAAAAATGAACTATTTGTCTCTCTCTAACTCACATACTAATTTCATTCTCCTAGCCTCTCTCTTTCTAACTTCTATGTAAATCTCGATCTTCATCCATCTCTCTAAATCGCATGTTATCTTCTCTTTCTAAAATATAATAAAATATAATTTCTATTTATCTTAAGAGATAAGTTATTTCTTAAACCAAAAGATAGGCCTTCGTGGGTGACAACTCACACAACTACTAAAACTCACACGCATATGTACGATGTCCTATTTCATTGCACTGGTAACAAGTAATCTTTGAAGTATCCCTCTTTTCTTTATTAAATTTTGATTGGTGCGAAATCTCCTTCTGAATGTAAAATTTCTTATCGGTGTTCCATTGGTATTTAATCTCTACTCGTAAAGCAATTTGAAAAGCTTCACTTAATGTTCATGACACTGTAGAAAAATTTCATCCTTAATGGTTGTTGAAGCTCATTTACGTATTGACCAGCCTTTTATCCTTCCATGTTTTGGAGGTTGTTTCGAGCTACTAATTGATAAAACTCCATAGTATAATCTTCCACTTTTTTCTCATTCAGTCAAAGATTTTGAAATTCTTGAAATAAAATTTGCTCATGATCCACAAAGAAATTTTTCTTTCAATTTATTTTTCATCTTTTACCAGTTAGTAATTTTTCCTACGAAGTCGGGATTGTTAAATTTAGTCCCATAAACCGCAGCATACCCGCAGAGCTTGGTTGCAACAAGTTTAACCTTAGATTCCTTTGACAATTTATTCCATTCAAAATAATTTTCAACTACACTTAACCAATCAGTAAAAACCTCTATGTGGAGCTTACTATGAAATTTAGGGAGATTGACTTTAATACCGAAATCTCATAGACGCTCTAAAGGATGTGGATCCGGTTTGTAAATTTGTTTTTAACGTTATGGATTAATAGCCCGGGTTGGTCAGAAAACTCAATTAGTCACTACAGTTAGATTTGCGACCAAACCCACATGGTTGCGAGTGCCTTCTTCTCGATGAATGGCGTCCTCCAATTGTTGCAACCTCTGATCCAACTATTGCAAACATTGATTAGTTTCACATATGTCTCGTCGGATATCCTCTAAGGTTGTGCTCATGCTCTTTTGAATTTGCTTACCCACATACCCCATGATTTACAGCAATATATCTTCGAGTGTGAGAGCAGGTTTTTGTGGTATGGTGATTGATGGATCTTACTTGCTGTGATACCAACCAATCCAGAAAAGACGGGAGGGAAGAAATAATTAAAATAATAATAAAGGGTGAGAATATATCAACTCTCTGGGTCTGCAAGGGAATCCACTCCCAAAAGATCTTTTCACAAAATCAACTCTTTACTCAAATCTAATCTCTGTTTACAAAGAGGGACTTCTTCCCTTTAAATACACTTAGAAGAATAAATAAATAAATAAAAACTTACAAAAATAAACTCTCTCTGTAACTTATGTATCACTTTTCATTCTCCTTTATCACTCTCTTTTTAACTTCCACGTAAATCTCTATTTCCATCTATCTCTTTAAATCTCATGTTATTTTCACTTTCTAAAACATAACTTCTACTCATCTTAAGCTATTTCCTAAACTAAAAGATTGGCCTTCTTGAGTGACAATTTACACTCCTACTAAAACTCACGCACAAAGTCCCCTTTCTAAAATTCACACACAAAATTCTCTCACTTCACTTATCCAAGCACATTTTCTATTCCTAAAAAGAAATAAACAAAACAAAAAAAATTAATAAAAACTGAAATTTTTAATTTTCCTAAGCTCTTTCTGTATCAGGAGATCAGTAAAGAGACTCAACACAAACATAAAAAACAAACATTGTATAGTGAATGACAATAACATAAGCAAGAGCAATAGACAGAGTGCGTGCCCATATGGAGAGAGGGAGTTAGAGAGAGAAAACCATGATCGTGGAGAGAAGTTAAAGAGGGAAAAAAGGCATGGCTACAAAGAAAAGAGACAGAAAAATAGAGCACCCATATAGGAGAGGGAGTTAGAGAGGGAAAGCCATGGTTGTAGAGAGAATTTAGAGAGGGCAAAAAGGCAGAGAGAAATAGTTAGAGAGATATGTACATTGAGAGAGAATGGATAGAGAGAGCCCATGTAGAAAGAAGAGAGAGTTACGGAGAGAAAGCCAAGATTGGTCAGTAATTAAATCAAGGACTTGCAATGCACCAACAGTTTGTAGGATTACCAAGTCTTTAACCATGTAAATTGTCGGACCATGAAATTGAGACATATGCAAAGTGCAATTAATGAGTTCATGTGTTGTGATAAATTCATTAAGAACCCGCGTACAGTGAGTCCCTTTAGTATGAAATCTCCCCCTATACACCAAGGCAAATATTATTAATTCACATTATTAGTAAATTCATTCTAGAAAGGCCATCTATCAGAATGACAATTAGGGCCAATCGTATTAGTTAACAACCCCTTGAAGTCCTATTTTGGACCTCACAAAAAACCAGAGATTATTATTTCACCAAATATAAAATGAAATTATCAACAACACATGGATCCCTTAAACCACCAGATTGATTGATAAAATCCGTACCTATGATCTAAAGGAATGCTTACTCCACTCCGATTGTGCATTCTGAAGATCCAACGGTCATAACTTGGGTGCCTTCTACAGCTCTTGTTTGGAAAAAGTTTATATAAGGTGCCCACCTTAAATTATAGAAGTAAGGTGCACTTAATAAATGTAATGCCGGAAAACCCTCCAATTGATCATCTCGACCTCAAGATTCATAGATATAGAAAAAAGGGGATTTCAAGTCTTATAAACGGTTTACCTTCTAACACAATATTTGGACGGACCATTTTGAAAAGTTTGTAGATCTACTTGATCGTCACCAATTTTGGACCATTAAATTTCTTAGTTAGGGATGACAACAAATTTTCATTTACAAGGGTTTTTGACACATAGACGGCATCTTTTGGCGTAGTTTTGAGCTGTGCCTTATTTTATTATTATGAGGTTGGCGTTTATACAAACCTCACCCACCTGGTTTGGTTTGAAAACCCCGCTTTACCGTTGTGAACTGCAGCAAAGCTGGGTCACATGGTTAATTATGTCTTCTTTACACCTCAATTTAAGGAGCCATTGCGGAAAGGAGCTGGGATCGTGGTGGTAGCAAGCCACACCCTCGTTACCACATTGTGGTTGCTATTCCCACCACTAATACCACCCCACAAATACTTTCAAAAAACTAATTCTTCTCGTCACCACGTTGTGGTTTCTAT